AAATGGCCCGCTCACAAAAGGGTATCTTCATTTCCCAAAGAAAGTATGTCCTATATCTACTCTAGGATACAGGAAAATTGGGAGTGATGCCAGTTGATTCCCCTATTGATCATAACCACAAACTAGGTGACTGTCAAGGTGAACCCATCAAGGATGTGAAACAGTCCAGAGACTTGTAGGAAGATTGTTATATTTTTGTATGACTCGACCAGACATAGCTTATGCAGTGGATGTTCTTAGCCAGTTCATGCATGCCCCTAAGACTACCCATCTTGAAGCAGTAGAAAGAGTTCTCAGATATCTTAAGAAGTTCCCAGGTRCAGGTTTGTTGTTTCAAAATATGGACATTTGAAAGTTGAAGTGTATACTGGTGCAGATTGGGCAGGATCCTTGAATGGCAGGAAGTTAACTAGTGGCTACTGTACCTTTATAGGAGGTAATCTAGTTACCTGGAGAAGCAAAAAGCAGAATGTGGTAGCTAGATNCTGAATATCGGGCAATGTCTCATGGAGTGGCTGAAATTATGTGGCTAAAAAATTTGTTGAGTGAGTTGGGTTTTCCAGTTGACGGACCTATGACCCAATTCTRTGATAACAAAGMAACCATAAACATTGTTGCTAATCTAGTGCTGCATGATAGAACTAAACACATTGAAATCAACAACCACTTTATCAGAAAAAAGATTGTCACAGGGGAAGTGTGTACTCCTTATGTCAGCTCTGAAGATCAACTTGCAGACATCTTTACAAAAGGGTTACACCACTCATAGGATCATGATTTATGTGACAAGTTGGGCATGATTGACATCTATGTCCCAACTTRAGGGAGTGTTAAAAGTTGTTAATTCTCTAAGTATAGTATCGCAGGGGTACTATTGTAAATTTCTTCTCTTATTTTTTATATCTTGTTGCCCTAGTATATATACAAAAAGCTGGCGCCGCCAGCAAGACTTTAGGTTCTCARATCTCTCATCTCTCTTCTTCTCTCTCTATTCTCTCTTCCTCTCTTCTTCTTTTCCTGCTTAACAACCACCTTTTGATAAATATTCCTTCCACATGGCCAACTTTCTGTCAGGAATTGGAGGTATTGTGAGAGATGAGGATGGCAATAATTGTTGTCAAGGCGGCGCTTAGGTGACAGGGCGCCCTTGGAGGTTCGCCTTGCCTAATCGCCAATCAGTTTTCTATTGCGTGTTATTAAAAACTTTTATATTCTTAATTTTTGGAGGTTATAATTATAAAATAGACATTTTTAAACTAAAWTATTMATTTTGTGTGYTTATATRCTAATTTCTTTTTATTATTTTCTTATTTGTTAGGGTTTAATCAACACAAACATTGCTAAATGCTGTATTGAACCCTCAAAGACCTCAAAACCTGAACTAATACGTAAGA